AATTTAGTTGTCTGGAATATACGTGGTGCTAATAACAATGACTTTAGGAGAAATTTTCGAGAGATACTCCATACGCACAACCCTTGCATAGTTGCTCTACTGGAACAAAAATGGCTAACCATGCAGAGCTTAGAGATTCCTTTTACTTCACTGACATGCTTGAAGTCTCTGCTATTGGACTTGTTGGAGGCAATGTCATCCTTTGGTATGGAAACCTTGTCAATATTAAATTTCATCAGTAAAACACATCAAGAGATACACGCCATGCTTCAGGTACACCCTGATCACACCCCTTGGCTTCTTAGCATTATTTACGCTAGCACTACTATTAATAGTCGTAATACCATGTGGGATAACCTCCGGTCTATTACCTCCAACTATTCTGGACCATAGCTACTAGGGACGATTTTAATGAAGTCCTGTCCCAGGGAGATAAGTGGGGTGGTAGACCCATCAACAATAACCGTGTTTCCAACTTTTGGTCTTGTGTCAACCAATGCCGACTAATGGACCTTGGTTATAAAGGAGCTAAGTACACTTGGAGAAACTGTAGAGTTAGAACTAATGGTTTAATCTTAGAAAGACTCGATAGATTCTTTGCTAATGACCAATGGGTAGAACAATATCATGACGCCTCTGTAACCTACTTACCTAGAACTCATTCGGATCACACACCCCTCCTTCTAAATATTACCAGAAGAATCCTCGGCAGGGTAACAAGACCTTCAGTCTTGAAACCTTCTGGTGCCACCATCATATCTTTGAAAATTTAGTTAAAAATAGCTGGCATAGAAAACCTTTAATGGAAGTTACTAAAACCTTCCAGCTTCTTGCTTCTAAATGGGCTAAAGTTACTTTTGAAGATACCCATAGAAAGAAGTGGCAAGTTCTAGCCTGAATTAATGGAATTCAAGCATCCCTGTGCTACCCCACTGGCACATTCCTACAACTCTTAGAAAAAGACCTCATTAACGAATATAATAACCTTCTTCGAATTGAGGAAGATTACTGGAAAATTCGATCTCGCAATAATTGGATTATTGACGGTGATGCCAACACAAAATTCTTCCATATTAGCGTTGACAACTGACGACGCACTAACAATATTGCGTTCTCCAAAAATAGTGAGGGTTCCGGGATAACTGATCTGCAACAAATTCTAAACCATACCTTAACCTATTTCAAAAAGGCTTTCACCTCCGAGCACATAGCCACTCCTCGAAAGAATATTCTCGACTCCCCTACTAGTTTTGATAACATTGAATTTACTTCGCTAGATCGCCCTCTGCAATACTATGAAATTGTGAGCGCCAATTGTTCCTTCAAAACCACTTAAAGCACCCGACCCAAATGGCATCCACCATTTTTTCTATCAAAAATATTGGCACCTTGTTAAGGACTCGGTCATATCCTGCTGTCACGAAGTTTTCAACACCCTTACTATTCCTGAAAATCTAAACTCGACCCACATTTGCCTAATTCCTAAATCTTTAAATGCTAATAACCTCAATAACTTTAGACCTATAGGTCTATGTAATATCATATACAAGGTAATCACTAAAATCATTGTCAACAGAGCGAAACCTTTTATGGATAAGCTTATCAGCCCCTACCAATCTAGCTTCCTAAAAGGAAGACGCACCAGTGACAATGCCATTATTATCCAGGAAATCATGAACCATTTCCAAAAATTTAAGGGGCTACGGGGTAAGCTACTCTTAAAAATTGACCTCGAGAAAGCTTTCAATAGACTAGAATGGTCTTTTATCTATCGAGCCCTTCTTTTCTTCAAGTTCCCACCGCGCATAACCAATCTCATCATGAGTTGTGTCATCACTTCCAGAATATCAATCCTAGTAAATGGCTCTAGAACGGAGTTTTTTAGCCCAACAAGAGATATTAGACAAGGAGATCTAATGAACCATTACCTATTCATACTATGTATGAAACTCCTCTCCAAATACATTTTCCGCCAGGTCAACATTGGCCAATGGGACCCCATTCAACTAAGTGAATTAGGGACACTCCTCTCTTACCTCTTTTATGCAGACGACCTTACACTAGCAGCAAATGCAAATGTTAAACAGTCCAAACCATAAACCGTTGTCTGGCATTCTTTAGCCAACTTTCGGGTAAAAAATAAACTCTAGGAAATCCAAAATAATCTCCCTAAAAAAACTGCGACTCTTTTACCCGAAACCGTCTTGCTAATATTCTTAATATTAATAGTAGTCATAGCTTTGGAAAATACCTAGGATTCCCAATCCTCCCGCATAAATCAAAAGCTACTGACCTCCAGTACATCGTTGACAACATGAATTCTAGATTAGCCGGATGAAAAATAAACTTTCTATCTATTGCTGGTAGAACTACACTAGCCAAATCCACTCTCAATTCCATTCCAAACCACTTCATGCAATATATCCTTCTCTCCTCCTCTATCCTTAAAAAAATTGACAAGATCGAGCATGACTTCATATGGGGTACTACAACAACCAGGAAGAAAATTCACTATGTTAATTGGGATACTGTTACTCAGTCTAAGCGAGACAGGGGTCTAGGTATAAAAAAGGCAAAAGACAAAAATCTAGCTCTACTCTCCAGTATGTCTTGGCGCCTCTTCACCAATACTACCTCTATATAGGCCACCACTCTAATCAGTAAATATAGTTATAAAAGGAACCCTACATCCCATTCCTTCATCTGGTCTAACGTCCTAACGGTATGGAGATACTGCTCAAAGGGCCTTTCATGGATAATCAGACCAGGAAATATTAATTGTTGGCCATCAGCTTGGATTCCCAACCTCCCACCACTCAACTCCCTTCTCCAAGGTCCTTTAACCCAACAGGACTCCAACCTCAAAATCAAAGATCTATGGGAAAATAATCAATGGGATTTATCCAAACTGTCCTTTCATCTCCCTGTTCACATCACCCAGAAAATCCTCTCTATTAAGATATCAGAACTTCGGGATGCATAAGATATCCCTATTTGGGCTCTCACGTCAAACGACTCCTTTACCACCAAAACAGCCTATAAACTCATCTCCTCACAAGGCTACATTAACTACAGATTCCAATGGATCTGGAAGTCAAGTACTCTTAACAAAATAAATTTTTCTTATGACAATGCCCCCATAATCAGCTTCCCACAAATGCTTATCTTTATCACATATGCTTAATTATCGACACTATATGCTCTATTTGTAAATGAGCTAATGAATCTCTAACTCACATTCTCTTCGAATGCCCGATAGCCAAGGCCTTTTGGGAGGAAGTAAGCCCGCAAAACCAAACTCCGGATTTCAATTCAGACACTGGCTTATGACACTCGAAGAGTGGACTATTAATGTGGACAACCTAAACGTCACTTGGAATGAATTCTTCCCTTTTGCCATCTGGCACCTATGGCTTAACAGAAATAATAACCATTTCAATAACCTTTGTAAGCTTCTTGCCCTAAACCTTGTGATGATGCATTTTATGGAATACAAATACACAGCTTTATCTCTCACCAATAACATAAACACTTCTCCAATAACTGTAAAATGGAGCCCCCCATTGTCAACTGACCTAAAACTCAAAATTGATGGTCTTTCAAAGGCCGTTATAACAAAGAAGGAATCGGTGGAATATTTCGGGATAAATTCGGTAACTAGTTCCTGGGCTATAGAATGTCCGCTTATGGCTACACCCCTATATACATGAAACTCATCGCGCTAAAAAATGGTCTTCTTCTAGCAAAAAACAATAATTTTAACAACTTAGAAATTGAAACTGATGCTACTGAAATACCACAATTACTTTCCTATAATAACTGTTCTCTATACTCTAACCTTGTTAATGAGTGCAGATTGTTACTGAAGGAGCTGAAGAACCCCATGATCAGACACAATTTCCGTGAAAGGGAACAGACTCGCGTACTTTTTGGCAAAAGAAGGGTCCAAGCAACCAAGCAATACCTCCCTATCAATAATGCTCCGCCCACCTAATGTTTGTTGGAAGCTGCTCCAGGAAGACAAAGCTGGAACAACTATTACTAGGCTAGTATCTTCCAATGTTCTAAACAATCTAGCAGATCTTGGGAACATTAATAGTTTTTGTAATATGACTAGCAGGCCTCCAGGCTGAGGTGTACATTAATAGTTTTTGTAATATGACTAGCAGGCCTCCTGGCTCAGGTGTTTTGGGTGCCACTACGGAGGCACCACCGATATGTAATGCAACTACTTAATTATTAATATATATTTCGTCGTTACAACAATCAAAAAGAAGAATTCTTTTACGGTGTCTTTTTCATTGTGCTCCCTTCTCTCAATTCATGAGACAGGGGTTGAGGCAAATTGGCAATAATCACCGTAATATAGTAAGTAAAATTTGAGGACTTTTTTTTTTCACTTTTAGCTCGTGTTAAAAATTATTTTTATTTAAAAGTTAGATAAGTATATAAAATTTATATAATTTTATATATAATATACAAAATATATATATATATATATATATATATATATATATATATATATATATATAAAATATTTTTTGACTATTATTTTGAGAGCGGCTATACAATGTTATTTTCTCAAAATTTAATCGACGCAAACCAGAAGGACAATGATGAAATTTAAATTTTAGACCCAAAGGTTTGAAGTTTAAATTTTTAAACTTTAAAATTCAAGTTTAGACCCGAAGGTCTGAAATTTAAATTTTATATTTTAAAATTTACCTTCAAACCAAACATAAAAAATTAGGCTCGACCAATTTCCAAAGACGAGGCTTGTGATTTCAATTTCAGTCCACTAGTCTAAATTTTAATTATGAAGCGAAAACAACAATAACGATCTTGTAAAATTTTACTACTAGAGTCTGTAAAAAATAGTGTCACCCCTATTCTGAGAGAATAGATAAGTTGTCGGATTAGCGACTCAACTCTAAAATTTTAAGTGCTTATTGGCTTTTAATCACTTTTATAGTTTTGTGGACTATTCTTTTAAACAGAGTCGTCCAACCGGCTATTTCTGCACTTGTCCCTTTTCGGAGTTTTACTTGCGGCCCAGCCAACTCGAGAACCCACTGGTCCGTAATTATGCTGAATTCACCATCCAGATCCGGACAATCGTACTGTAATTGAAGTGAAATCGTCGGAACTCCGTCGCCGGTAATTTATCTTGCTCCAGCACCGGTTACGTTGTCCGAAACGAATTATGGCTACGATTGATGTGATCAAGTGTTGTACCGATTCCATTAGACACGTGAGTCTTCTCTCAATTTCTGATTAATTTTCCTATAATCATACTTTGCTCCATGTTATAAAATTGTTTAGATTTTTTAATTGATTTACTCAGTTTTATTATTCATCAAATTGTGCATTCTCAAATTTACCTTCTCTGTAGCTTGAGCTAAAAAGATCACAAATTTCTTGGTTTCATGCGGTCTCTAGTTATAGCAACTATGCTTCAATCCCAAACTAATTTGGACAGGCAACATGATCAAAGGCGGATGCAAGTATTTAACTTCAATGGGTTCAACGTTTAGGTTCTTACCAATGAATCCTTTGCAGTTTTGAAGTTATGAGTTTAAAATTTAAATTTTTATTGAAATTTCAGTAATCTTCATATACATTTATACTTCATGTAAAAAATGTTGGGTTCAGTTTAACCAATTAGTTATGTACGTGATTCAGGCCTAAGGATTTATAGATTCATCATAGTTTGATATTTTTATACTATCCAGCCGTAACATTCGGTTGGATAATTAATGCCCGAAAATCTTTTTTATCTTTTTATTTGGGTTTTGATTGACTTGATGGCCCGCTCTCGTGCAACTCGACTATCCAATTGGGTACCTGCATCCAGCCACTGTTGCACAAACCGGGTAACTTGATGGAAAAATCACCTAAATATTTGTTTCTATTGGGATTCAAATCGTGGTTTCTTATGATCTTCATTCTAGTTTCATCAACCACTGGTCCATACCAGTAGATGCTATAATGCTTGTAAAGTTAATAACATTTTAGAATAGATTGAGGGTGAACTTCGAAGACATGGCACTTGGATTTACATTTCTACTTTAGGTTCTGCTTGTGAGGTTTTCTATTTGGTCGGTTGATCATGTGATAAAGAAAACGGAGAGGAGGAAAAAGGAAGAAGGATACTGTCTTGTTATTGTGTGGCGGTAGAGTATAATTCTACAAATATCTAAACCCGAAAATCTCTTCTTCAATTTTACCATTTTGTTGTTTAATTGTTTTCTTATGCATAAGAAGGGACAACGTTGATGCCCGTTTTATTTCCCTATGTTTTCCTTTCTAATTTTTGGGCAACTCTAGTTCAAATATACTTAAAGTGGAAAAAAGATTCATGTTATTCTATCAGAAAAGAAACATATCCACTGGATAAGTATCGCCTAGATGCAAGTTCTAAGGTTGATGTCCAGTCATACAATATTAAACATGAAAAATTATCACATTTTGCGGAAGGTAGAAGGAGCACATAAAAAAAAATGGGAAAAGGTTGTTGAGATTGTTTGGTTGCGTCTTAAATCTACCTCCAGATGCACTTGTTTGTATGTGAGAAATTATGGTGAATGAGGTGTTAAAAGAGGACGAGGCAGACCTAAAATCTTAGAGAAGTTGTCAGAACTCAGAAAAGACTTGCGATCTCTTGGAATCCCTACGGGCTGCAGATCTAGCAAAAAATAGGGTGCAATAAAGGAAAAAGTCTATGGGTGATACCAATTAGTTGGTATTAAATTATAGTCATGTTATATGTTTAGGTCCAGTATTTTCCAGTAGTCTCTTACTCTCTTAGTCATGTCAGAGATATAGAAAATATAAAGAACTTTTAGTGCTTCGTGTTTTCATTTTTAATCTTATTATATTTTTATATAATATTGGACTAAGATGAACTTCATATGAAGCAACATGGATTATAAGGATGCATATAGCCGATCCCAACTTGCTTGGGATTGAGACGTAGTATATCGTTGTTATTCTGATAGAATCTACAGAGAACTAGGGCTCTGATGAAAGGTTTAATTTTAATTCTCTTTACCTTCTCTGCTAATAAAATATCCAGCAAATCAGAGAACTATTTTTCACCTCTACTTCTGCAGGAGGCCAAGTAGTGGAGTATTATTTTATATGTTCTATTTCCTCTGATTTTCCACACCTCTGTACTTATCTATCTAAGAAGCAAAAGGAACTAATGTACTTGTTTTGTCACTGATTTTTTTATTTTTTTGATAACAACATGGTGAATGATTTTAACTTGATATTTCTCCCGAACATTGGGGAACAGTAATCCAATTAAAATATTGTATCTTTATTTTTTCAGATATCAGATGAAATTAGAGATGCCATAGTTTATCTGGATGCAGGGAGTACTGAAAGCTTTGAATTTCTTGGAGCATTCTCTTTGTTGTTGGAGCTGGGTGCACATGCCATTTGCAGCTTGGAGAAAATGTCTCCTCTCGATAAGGTAACATTAGTTATACTTTAGTTGCTTTGAAATTTGTTGCTTGAATTCTCTTTTAGTTGACATCATGATATAGCGCAGGTTGCTTAATCACAGATGCGTATTATAAACAGTAGCTTAAATTCCACATGATTTTCACATTGAGAAAGATACGGTAGATGCTTCCACTTCACGAAAAGTAATTTGTATGTGAAAAGGCATGTCATGTGTTTTAAAGGTAACATGGTTGCAACTATTTATTTTGGAATTCTCACTAATAATTCTTAACTCTCCTTAAGACTTACTTGTGAAAAAAATTAAATAAAGTCTTAATGAGGACTTTTTTGTTTTTCCTTTTTATTTCCATCTCAAAAAGAAAACTAAAAAAAAATTCCTCATTAAGAGTTGAACAAATAAGTACCATTCAGAAAGAAAAAAAAAAGAAAAAGAGTTGAACAAATAAGCTGTAGGATTACGGGAATAAAAAAGGAAAACAAGAACAATGAGCTGTAGTATTTGGGTTGAAAGACCTGTAAGCTCAACATCGATTTGTATTAGCAAATAATATCTCCTTGAGAAGATTATTTAAGGAGTCTATCACTTACTATGAAATATGCACATGATTAGCATGTAAGTATTTTCAGTAGATTTTTGGACCGAAATATAAATAATAGAAGGGGTCATAAAGTGCTTTCCATGATTAAAAACAAAGCTACTGTATATATAAGAAGATCCTCTTGTTTTTATTTTTCTTCAGTTTTTGAACTACCTTTTGTCTGAACCAGCCTTCAGTGCTTCCCTATAGGTGGTTGATTGGAATTCGACTTCTGGGCCTGCAAAGAAAATTGTTGTCATCACGTCACGTCTTCTAAGTGATGCACATAGATATATTTTACGTTGCCTGAGTGCACTTCAGACTGTCTGCAGCTGTGCTATATTTACATGCATCTCAGAGGTACCTTTGAGCTTGTAAATTAAATGTTCTTCATTCTATGTGTTTAATTTTTTGTCTCTGAACATCTGGTCATACTAATTGTTTCTTGAATGAAATGAGAGTATCCGGTTGTACTTGGCAAAACATGTTGGACTCTTACCTCTCAAGATAAGATTGTCTACACATTAGATTTTAGAATGATTATCTGATATAATGATTTTATTACCTGATATTTGCTATTCCTCTAACTACATCCACCCATTATACTTTATAAGAAAAGAAATATACATATATCCATCCATTACGTGTGAGTCAATTTGGTAAGCTTTTGAAAAAATGGGAGACATGCAGATCTTTCTTGCATGATACTCAGTATATATGTCTATGTGAGGATAGAATAGCTTACAGTAGTTTCTCACATTTATATATATGCTCGTCCAGAATTTCGATGGCAGATAATACTGTCCCCTTAAAATAAAAGGTGAAACAAATGAATAGATCAATTGAAGGTGAGATTACCAGATGTTATCTGAACATATATTTGTCTTTACATACTCTTGGTTGTGGATGAAGGATAGTTCATACTGTCCTTATAATATGCTATCGGCCAAACTTAGCTTGTCTTCTTGGTCTTAGTAGGACAAAATGAAAGCTTCTGGGCACTGCTAAGTGAATGTATTAAGCATACTATCACATAGTGGAGATCAACAAAGAATACGAGATAGATTGAAAGGTTTAATGGACAACATTTTCTTTAGCCCACGAATGTCTTCCCCATTCTGGATAAGAAGATCTCCCAGCCACCACAATTATGGCAGAATTTTATCTTTTTTACTGAACTCAGTGTTAGACTATGTCTAACGCCATGTTTTCAAGTTATATACCAGATTAAACAGAAAATTGCTTATAGAAAGGATAACTTTCTTTTTTTCTGGCTTATTTCATGTTATTGTTGGTCTTCATAATCGTTGTGTTACTTTCCTATTGGGTGCAAACATAGGTCTTTAATAAACCATGTTGAAACTAATATATCACGTTGGTGTCAAATAAGTTCATCCGTGCTGGAGCTACTCCTCATCTCAAATACTTTCTGTTCACCAATAGAAATAAAAGAGTGCTGCATCGTGACTGAAAGTTCTTTTATCTATTTTTAAGAAATTTAGTCTATTACTTTTTGACTACAACGATGACAATGATATTTTCTAGTATATGTCAGGGCTTAAATTTGTCATTGGCACTCTCCCCCAATGGACATAAGAAGTCGTCATTTAGTGGATTTTTCAACAATCAATCTACAATGTCTTCTATTTACCTCATTTTAAGTGTGTATCCAAATTCACTTATTTCAGACGGGTCACTCAGCATACCCTGAGTCACCCTTAGGACCGGATGCATATCGTGAATATGAATCCTTGCTTGTCCAAGATTATGAGGAGCTTGCTGGAAAGTCTCTGAGGAACTCTAATCATGCTGGAGAGAGCACAGTAAAGGAAAGTGTGTCCGCTGAAGATGAAGGGTGGTCACAATTAACCACCAGTGAAGAAGCGACTCCTAATTTCAGTTCTGTTGCAAGTCCACGAAAACTTTATGGTGACAGTGTAATTGACCTGAGAGAAGATGTAGGGAAAAAGTTGAAAGTTTCTGTGCATCATTTCCCTTTGGTCTTGTGTCCCTTTTCACCCAGATTCTTTGTCTTGCCTTCAGAAGGATCAGTTGCTGAAGCATACCTGTCCACTGAACATGATAACTCTATGAGCTTTGGGTTGCCTCCAATAAGTACTGGGACACCTGCCGATGGTGAGGATGTCCCTCCTGGGGCAATTCTTACCGCTCAATTTCTTTATCATCTGGCGGCAAAGGTAATCATGCTTTCACTTGTTTGAAATTTTCTTGACAGATTTTAATGTTCTCTTCTATCGTGATTCATGTCTTGAAAATAAAAATGATATCTTCCAATTGGCAGCATTGTTATCCATAATGGCAGTGAAACATGACTAGACCTTCTCAGTAACATGTGTTTAGCATGTCATTATCTTTATCTTGGAATAAACCTCTGTATTTGCATAAAATATTAGGGACAATATAAGAACACTATATAGTTAGTTATTTTTTGTTAAAACACACATATAGATGAAACTTCTAGCACAATAGCAGTTATTGGATCGAAGAAACTGTTAGTTAGCTATAAAGTTGAAAATTGGTGAAATTCTTGAAAAAAATAAATCCATAGATATGCTTGTTCAAGCATAAAATGCTGGAATAAACCCGTTTTCTACTCAATCAATTTAATTTTATTATTAGTAATAATAAAAGATCAAAGATAAGAATAATGTTCTTTATTTAAAAGAAAAAGGATAAAAACAATGTTAGGGCATTCCGAGGAAATAAATGGTAAATAGTGGGAGATTGTTATTTAGATAGTAAAGGGTGAAATGTATCAGAATAATTTAATATGGCTTTGGAGCACTGATACATTGGTCAGTGATAATATTTTATGCCTAAATAACAACTTCATGTCAAGGAGTACATTTTTTTACTTATAATGGTTATGATTTTATGTCTTTTATTTTATTTTAGTTTATTTTATTTGTCTCATTCAACCTGTATCTTTAAAGATAATATATTAATTTGTAGATGGACCTGAAACTTGAAATATTTTCCCTGGGTGATATTTCAAAAACTGTTGGAAAGCTTCTGACGGACATGTCAAGTCTTTATGACGTTGGTCGACGTAAGAGATCTGCAGGGCTATTACTCGTAGATCGCACACTTGACCTTCTTACTCCATGCTGTCATGGTGACTCACTTGTGGATCGTATGTTTTCATCATTGCCTCGCAGGGAACGGATGTCGCCCTTAAGTCAAGCTAAAAGCTCGCAAAGCCAGCTTAAACTTGGCCCCGCTTACTTGCAACGTTCTCCTCTTACTGTTCAGATACCACTGAATAATAGTTTAAGAGAGGAGACTTCTAGTTTTGGCAACTTTCAGCTGGTGGAAAACATTGAAGCATTTCTCCGTGGCTGGAGTTCTAGAGACTCAACTTCTCAAATGGTTGAGTTGGTGAATCTTAGCGCTAAACTTAGTGATGAAATGTCCTCGCAAGATTTTCAGAGTGACCTTCTTTGTGGTTCTTTTGTCTCCACGGAGAATTTTCATGGAACACCATACCTGGAAGCCATACTAGAGCGAAGGACAAAAGATGGGGCTGTTCTGATCAAGAAATGGCTGCAGGAAAGTTTACGTCGGGAAAATTTGTCATTGAACGTAAAAGTACGTCCTGGTTATGTTTCACAATCAGATTTGCAGCCTATGATTAAGGCATTGGCCAAAAGCCAGTCATCTTTGATGAAAAACAAAGGAATCATCCAGTTAGCTGCAGCAGCATTATATGCTTTAGATGAATCACATAGTGCTAAATGGGATGCATTTAACAGTGCTGAGAAGATATTGAATGTAAATGCTGGAGACACAAGCCAGAGTCTTGCTGCTCAAATTAGCGATCTCATAAATAAAAGTGCTTTTGTTAGTTCCCAGGGAAATAATAAGATGGATGCTCAGCGGGGGCTTCTTACTCTACAAGATGCTCTTCTTCTCACAGTTGTTGGATATATATTGGCAGGTGAGAATTTCCCATCTTCTGGGACTATTGGTCCTTTCTCTTGGCAAGAGGAACATTTTATGAAAGAAGCTATTGTTGATGCGATTGTTGAGAACCCAACAGTTGCAAAATTAAAGTTTCTGCAAGGTTTAACTCAGGATCTTGAAGCCAACTTTAATAGACAATCAGAAAAAAAGGTCGGTCTTTCTAATACTGAAGGTGTTGATTTTGATGATGACGATTGGGGTAGTTGGGGTGATGAAGATGCTGGAAAAGATAAAAACAAAGAGCAAGTGTATGGTGACATGCAGCTAAAGTTAGAGTTGTGTGATAGGGTGGATAATCTTTTCAAATTCTTTCACAAATTGTCCAGCTTAAAGAAGAATATTTCATTCAGAGAGTGGTCACAGGCTCTGGAGAGTAAGTTCAATGATGATCCTTACTCAAACAAAGGACTACTTTATAAAGTGCTTTCAAGGGTGCTGGCTAAGCATGAAGTACCTGGTTTAGAGTATCATTCATCTACTGTTGGCCGGCTATTCAAAAGCGGGTTTGGGAGATTTGGCCTTGGGCAGGTATGCTTCATTTAGATGTAAATATTTCCTTTGCTAGTGTAATTTGCTGGACTGATTTTGGACTTTGCAGGCAAAACCAAGTCTGGCAGATCAAGATGTCATTCTCGTTTTTGTTGTGGGGGGCATAAATAGCGTTGAGGTTTGTTTTCTTTGGACTCTTTCTTCGGTGCCTTTTTGTTATACTCCGTCCGTTTCAAAAAGATTGTCCTAGTTTGACTTGGCACAAAGTTTAATAAAGAAGGGAAGACTTTTGAGATATACAACAACAAATAAGCCAAAGCATTAGTATTATGGTAAATTTTTTGAAACTTGTCGTCTTAAACCTGTTATAGCATTTGTGTAGCTATAAATGACTCATATTAAGGAAATATTGAGATGTGCCAATCTTTTTGAAACGGATTAATAAAGAAATAGTGCCAATCTTTTTGAAATGGAGGGAGTAGTACTTTTGTTTTCCCTGGATCTTCCTTCCTGCTTTCCTGCTGGTTTAATGAATTTACAATGTGCATATGCAACAATGGTTAAAGATGTTTTTTTAGTTAATATGGGGGAAAATACTAAACACTGCTATCGTTTTTCTTTCATTTGATGTGCAATGGAGAGTCTATGCTTGCCTACACAAATTTACAGTCCCTCCTTGTTATACTAATAGGTTCGAGAAGCTCAGGAGGCATTATCTGAGAGCAGTAGGCCTGAGGTTGAACTGATTATTGGCGGAACGACTCTTCTTACACCTAACGATATGTTTGAATTACTGCTGGGCGATTGTTCTTGCGTTTAAGGTTGTATAACTTTATTTGTTTTGATCTGTAAATTTAAGGTGAAAAGTTCTGTCTAAAAGTCAGATACTTTGAGAATACAAACTTCTTTTACCTTCATGTAAACCACAGAATTGCAAGTCCCCCCTTCCTCTGGCAAAACATCCTGCATTTTCCTTCTTTGCTTGGGGGGAAGCTTTAAAGAAATTAGGACTTTGTAATTTATATCAAATCAATAGTAACATCGCATGTGTTTTTTAATCACTTAACCATTGTCAAATACACATTTTATCTCAATCAATCGCTCTTGAAGTAAGTTTGCGTGGTTTGGTGTAAACATTGAATGTATGATATGCCCTAGTTGGTTAACATCACAAATGTGTGATATTATTTGTTAAAAACATTTAGGGTAAAACTTAAAAGGAAAAGATATCATTAGTAAGCTAAAAGTAGGAGTGCGTCGAGGAGTAGAAAAATCAAGACGACTTAAAGACCGTTTAAACTAAAAAAAACTTGTGAAGGTAAAATATATGTATAATTTATGTATTATATATGTATGACTGTGTATAATCAATGTATAAATTATGTATATAACTAAACAAAAGTAAATAATGTATATGGCCGACTATACACTAGTATACATTGTTTGCACTATCTGCGTAATAATGTATAGGCATCTGATCCTGAAGATTAGTATTTGCAGGTTGCTTAAACATACACCAAGGTGTTGCGACTTAACTATTTCGAGTCAATTACTCGATTAACTAATGTCTAATATCAAAATAGTTAGGTTGGTTACACAAATTTTCTCATAAGTCATGACCATTGAGTTCTACTCTGACCTATGCAAGCACTACAATATATATTAAAAAGAAAATAAAATTCTCTAAGAAGAGACTTTCAATCACATTTGCAACAATGATATAAAGAGTTTATAACAAAACTTAAAAGATTCTTGAAAGTAGTACTACCATATAAATATATCAACCAAAACCACTAAAATTTCGAAATAAATGATATTTAATTAATATGTTAACCGTTCATATTAGGAATATTTAGAATAAGATGTATTTGTTAGTATTAATTTATTGGAAAAACAATAAAGTCACTCAAAGTGAATACTCCAACAATTATCACCAGTTGTCTCGGATTTTGTATATGTGAATGAAAAAAATTATGGTAGGGAAAATTTTCTCTTTTAGTTGATCGTACGATGTGCCAACTTAGATTAGTTAACGCAACAATGAAAAAAATACTCCCACAACTAAATGCGCAAGACACAAGCATGAGATATGCCTCTATTAATTAAAAATGTTTATATAGAGGAATATAGTCAAATGTGGATTCATATGGTCGATCCCAATTTATTTAGGATTAAGGTAAAGTTATTTTGTTATCATCATCCTATTAAGAAGTATATCTGTTATTTTTTTCCAACTTTATCCTCTCTTCATATTTTCATTTTTTCAATTTTCCTTCTTATCATTCCCGTCACAACTTGTTTGGATAGTTGTTACCTGTTATATTTTAGGGTATTATTACTTTAAATATCGTATTTGTTTTAATAGTTATTTAAATTTTATTATCATAATATTAAATTTTTATTATTTAACAATAATTTTTTTTATTTATAAAATAATTAAATTGATGTGGTTACATTGTTATTTATTTATTTATATTATTTAATAATTTTTATGCTTTACCCTTTATAATATTGTAAGCGCATCTTCAATTATTGTTGCGTAACATGCCTCCACAATAGGATCCCTTGTAGACAATACCTAGCCAGAATTGGTTTGAACATAGATGAAATGTGCCCAGTATGTAGGAACAATGAAGAAGAATCCATTGATCATCTTCATACATTGTAAGGCCATTAAGCCTCTTTGGGATAGAATGAGACTACATCATCACTATAAAGATAACGAGGTACACTGGCTAATTCAACTAAGAAATTTCAACTATACTATTCCGCATAGCCTTATCAATTGGGACACCCTCCTGCCCTTCATTATTTGGCACACTTGGACAAACAGGAATAATAACAATCACAACAACACCTGCTCTATAATCAATTTTAATTTTGTCTATAAAAAGGCCACTGAATACAAGCTACTCACTGAAAGAAGCATACATAACCCCCCAAAAGCCACTATTAAGGTGGCATGGCATAAACCACTACAAGGTTGGACAAAACTTAGCATAGATGCTAGCCATAATATCGTTACACAAAAAAGTGGTTTAGGAGGCATTTTTAGAAACTTTGAAGGACACTGGATCGTAGGCTTTGGTAAATCTACATATGCAGGAGGATCATTGGAGGCTGAGCTCAAAGCAATACTGGAAGGCCTGAAAATGGCTAAGCAATGGAATTTATATCCACTAGAAATTGAATCAGACTCAGTGGAGGCCATACAAGCGATACTCCAAGGAAACATACTGTATTATGACATTGTTAATGCTTGCAGGTGGTCAATGCACCAACAGAAGAGGATAATCCTTCGGCACAACTTCAGGCAGGGGAATAATGTAGCACATCAACTGGCCAAGAAGGCAAAGGAGGAACAAGAAGGAATGAAGATTTTTGTGGAACCACCATCCTATGTTAAATGTGGTGTAGAAAAAGACTTGCTAAATCAATGTATTTTTGTTAAAAAACTATCGTATGATGCTTGCAATACCTTGGCAAGCTTAGGAAATCAAAGTGTCCTTAAAGACACTATGTTTGGAAACAATGTATTTCATCCTCCTTAAGTATATATATATATATATATATATATATATATATATATATATATATATATATATATATTGTTTGCTAAAAAAAAAAAAAAATTATTGTTGCGTAACATTAATAAAGGATATACGTAACAATCATTGTAAGAAAAAGAAAAAGAGAAAGGGAAAAAGAAAAAGGAGGCTGAGAAATGCTAAAACCCTCGTCTTCCCTAAAACTAAAACCCCTTCCATCGTGCAGACATTAGCACAATCAGTTCGGCTTCACTGTGAAAAATCACCCAAAAATTCCAATGGCGGCCTTCGAACTGCTCCATCAAGCTCGCCGCCACTGCTCCTACAAAACTCCATCTCACTTTTCTCCTCTTCTTCGCTCTCATTTCCACCGATTTCTCTCCTCTTCATCATCTCAATCACAACCCGAATCCCCAGAAAACCCGAGTCTAGTCCAACCCGTTTCTTACAAACCCAAGGATCCTCCGGAAACCCCATCTACAGAAACCACATCGCAAGCTTCCCCACAATCACAAACACAAAATGGTACCCGACCCGAATCAAATACTCGAGAATCAGTTAATGCGGATGGTAAAACTTGGACACGGGAGGATCTCCGATACTTAAAGGATGCACCAAAAATAACTCCGGTTTCTTACCCGACCCGAGTAGCTCCGTTACCTGAGGATCGGGTTGAAGAGGAGGGGGGAGTGGAAGCTAAGGGTGATGAGGAGCTGGAGAGAGAGAGGAGAAGAATTGAGGCGCAAAAAAGGGCGGCAATGAGGAGAGTTTTGAATGTTGAAGAGGAAATGGTTCCGTTTCCCACATTGGTTAACGTGAAGAGTGATGATGAAAAGAAGAAGAAAAAGGCTGTTTATGATCTTAAAGAGGCCATTCGCCTCGTAAAGGTCAGGTCTTTTTTTGTGGAATTAGTTAGGGTGGTTATATGAATTCTTTATAGCATTTGATAAATTCTTGACTCCTTGTAAAGTTATAAATGTGTACTTGCTGATTTGGAGTAGATATGATATCCTAGTCAATGTAGATGATTGGGAGCTTGCTATAGTGGATCGTGTTTTAATGTAAGAAATTATATCTTTTAGTCTAGAGGCTGTACATGCGGACTGCTGTTTTCCTCATCATACTGATGAAAAATTAACATCATAAGAAAATGTGCTTGCTTTGTTAAAGTCTTCGGAGCACCTTGTTGGTGTGTTCCACATCTTCACTTGGATATCAGTGATTTGCTACTTTACATTATATGATCCTATTGTAATATTTCCACCTTGCTTCACCATGGCGTGTAGGAGTTTTTTATTAGTCAACATGGACCATAGGAATGGTCCAATATATTCTCTAGGTTAATAATGAGCAATACTTGCATAACCTCCAACATAAGAAGCTGCTATCACACGCTTAAGCAACGCACATGTTAGGATATTTTTGAAGCTTCTAAGTGTTTCTAGATAACTTAGTGGTCTAGGCATTCTGGATAATCTTTTCCGATAATTATGGTGTTTGAGTCAGTTTTTGTGCATCTCAACTATTCCATCATGTACCTGCATCCTTTCACCAATACAAGTACTACACTCTGCTCGTCAAGGTATCTTATCATGATTTTAGCAAATAGAAAGAGATCGTCTAGTTTGTTTGAATATGCTAGATTCAAACCGTTGTCTTCCATTGACTACTAGACCACACTCCAGGTCGTATTTCTTAATAGTTTTCTTTTTGTCATGTTATTTTATGTGGTGTCTGATTCTGAACCTCCTAATCATCCGGTTATCTATTACTTTGCATTAGTATCTTGTAACCCTATCCACGAAGGCTTAGGCAAGTGAAAGGATTCACGTGGTGTAATCTCTTGGTTCCCAAGGTTGTAACTTCGTCTCTTCAACCGCTAGGCCCCCTCCTTGAGGACAAGTGTTTGTAGATAATATCACAGTGAAGGATAGAGACAGGTTCAAATTTTCCATCAATTAGGGGTAGTCATATGCATGGCTCAAAAATCCAGCTGTCATTTTTCCTCAGATTCTCATTATATTCTTTATTCATCTGTTCATGTTGAAAATAGTAACTATGGATCAAAGTCCATAATATGTAATTGAAGTGACTCTTAATCACAGCTTGCCCTGAAATGGTTTGCTTGTCTGCTTTTGCTTGGTGCTTTGTCTTTCTGTCTATATTATGTAATCAAAGTGACTCTTAGCTGTAGCTTGCCATGAGTTGGTTAGCTTGTCTGCTTTTCCTTGGTGCTTTGTCTTTCTCTCTAGTTGTGTTTTCTTTAGAGGTTACAGGCTGAGTCATGATTCATTGTGTTTCTAGTGATTATGCAGGCTAATGCCAAGAAGAAGTTTGATGAAACTTTGGAAGCTCATGTTGTTTTGACTTCTGATATGCGCCGAAGTGACCTGGTGTGTGCTTTTATCCTTGCATTAAGTTTACTATCGAAGCTTGTCGTAAAAATTGATGCTTGAACAGGCAGATAGACTTCTTGTTACCTCTTCTATTGTTATTGGTTTATATGTCTAAATTTATTCATCACATGGAAAATGGATATTGTATATTTTAGTTTACTTGGGATTTTCATAAGCAGAATTTTTTAACAGAACTCCCAGGATCAATGGGGTGCTACTGTTTTTGCGGCTGAATGAAAATAAAGTTGGTCTAAGAAGAAGCTCATAAATCACGAGAGTAAAGAGGGCCTTAAACCTTTCAACCTAAATGTCAATTCATGATCATGTGGGGACATCTCTCCAGAATTTGCTTTGCATGCACTCATCATGGATTTAGCAATGGACCAAATATTCCTTCATATTAAAAACTGAGCTCCAGCATTCTCTATCCTTATCACTGTTGGTTGAGACTTTGCTGACTTCGCATCCTTTTGTTGTTGGTCAGTATATGGAGCCGATTTTATTGATAGAATCATGCTCCTACTGCCACCTAATTAAGAGTGAATTTTCCTTGCCTTGGCTGAAATAGTCAGTGCAAGCCTGTAGCAATATAAGTTCTCTTGCACGGGTGGCATAAGCAGAGTGCAATTTATGGTCCTTCCACATTTCCAATATTCTTTCCGCTTTGGTTTGACCCTAGATGTCTGCTAGTTTAGGTAATTTGATCTGAGTGTTAAGCAATCCCATTAGTTTACTAGTGCGATCTCATAGTTCTTTCTTTTGATCTGCAGAAGCTTGAAGGTACAGTAGCTGTTCCTCATGGGTTTGGCAAGGTATAATGCATTCTTCACAAAATTTTAAGGTTAGATAATCTTATGCTGTTGGAGATTCGCTTTCTGACTAAATATTTTCCTCAGGTATATCGTATTGCTGTTTTTGCTGAAGGAGCTGCTGCTGATGAAGCCCGAGAAGCAGGAGCTGATGTTGTTGGTGGTTTGGAGCTCATAGAGAATATCAAGAGTGGTATTCCACTAAATTCATCTTTTTAAGAATTGCAACTGTTTAGAACTTTAGTGGTATGTCTTATGTCCACTCGCATGCTGAGGTAAATGGTACAGGTTATGAGGTCAGGTCAAGTTACTCCTTCCACTTCATAAACTCTCTGAGATTTATATTCATGACATCTCCGGAGGTAACCCTCTCCAATATATGGAGTAAAGTGAAAATGATAAGTATTCATCCGAGCTGACTATTCTTATGCAAAAGACAATCTTCACTTTTAACTTAATTCCTTGAATTACAAAAAGTCGAGTTTCTTTCTTGGGGGTGGTCAACTTGAGCCGGAGAAAGGTTCACAGAAGAAATAGTGGAGTCACGGGGGCTGTAAGACTAGCAGGAGCTGGGATGGAAAGGGTAGGAAACTGTGAAAATAAATTTGGTCAACTGAAATTTGATTTTATCCAGAAGTATGGTAAGATAAACTCTATCTGTAAGAGGGTTAAATGTTATGTATTCTGTTTTGGGTGTAAAACTTGATTGTTCAACTGTATTCTGTAAGTTGGATAGCATTATAAGTATATTTAGCAATTCAGGTATGTCACAGATTGAATCTGAAGGGATTGTGTTTGGGTATAGACACATGGCAAGCTTGGTGTGTAAATATCCAGGATTCAAGGTCGGGAAAGCAATGTAATAAAATTCTGATTGATGTACTGTGCAGAAGCACGACTTGTAGCGTTAGCGCTTCGTCTGCAATATAAAAGCATAACACTAAAACAGTTGAATTGTGTCTTGTCATGGTTATCTAAGAGGCCACAACGGAAAACTGTGCAAGTTGGGGGGGGGGGGGGTGTATTAAGTGCAAAAAAACAATTGAGATTTACAATATATATACACACACACACTCTTTGGCACATGTCACTCTGTGAATGGCGTGTCACGTGTGTCATACACCAAGTATATAAGGTATGTATAAGGTTGCCCGTGTATTTAGGGCGTGCATAGGAAACTCTGTGCCGGGGGGGGGGGGGTTATGTGTTCAGCCAAAAAAACAATCAGAAGATTTTTATTAAACTCACAAAATACAAGGAGAGCCGAGGGTATATCAGAAACAACCTCTCTGTCTTTTTAAAAGTAGGGATAAGGTCCGCGTACACTCTACTCTCCCCAAACCCCACTTGTGGGACTATACTCAGTTTTTTGTTGTTGTTGTCACAAAATACAAGGAGATCACAAATAAAGTTTTATGCTAAGTTGCTCGGACTCGGGTGAAGGTGTTTGATACGGGTGCGGATCCATCGGTCGGATCCTTCATGATCTAAATTTCAAAATTCGGAGGTATGGATCCAAGTACAATTACGGGTGCAGAAATTCGGCTAAAAATAAGTCAAATATCTAAAATATGTCCAAATTATGAGACATTATGAGAAAAACTTACAAGGTCTCTGAGAAGGAGAAAATATTGATCAACATAGAAAATTCTGTAGACAAGTTTCTTCAATTTCACCCTAGTTTTTGTTTTTATTTCAGAAATCATTGTATCTGCCTCGAATTTCTCCGTTTGTTTTGGTCAAAGTACCCAAAGTTGGTTGATTAGATCCAGTACGGATCCCACACCCATGTCGTGTCGACACGGGTGCGGCACAGAAAATGAAGAGTCCGAGCAACTTAAGTTTTATGGGTGAGGTGGAGAATAAAGGATATATAATTATTTACAGTGTATAAAGGGTGCCTAGTTGATCTGAATGGAGTGGATTCAAGGCTCATGTGGATGTAGATTTTATACCTAACAAAAGAAGATTCATGTGGATGCTGATATGGAAGTCCAAGGTACATAAGGAAGTGACCTGCTCAAGATATGTAGCATGGGGTGTCCTGTCGGTAGATAATTTAAGGAGAAAATGAATTGCAGTATGTTGGTTCTTGTAAGTTGGGAAGCACACATGTGAACCAACCAAAATTAGAAACAAATGACATTGTAATTTTGCATCGGAAGTTTGGAACTATGGTTTGTAGTATACTTCCTATTTAATATAGGAGCTTCTCCTAGAATGGTAGCAGAAATGCTGGTGAGTTGGTGAGTGAGCTGACATGGTAAAAGAACTCAGCCACACTTTTCTGGACCCTTTTTTTACAAGCTGGAATTCAACTCCCAGCTGGACACACTACCCTTAATTAATACTTAATTTTTTTATAAGAGAACAAAATGAAGCTAGAGATGGATATCAGGATGAGAGGAATATGGAAGAAAGCCTGTCTTATAGCCCGTTTGGCCAAGCTTCTAAAATCAGCTTATTTTGAGAAGTGTTTTTCTCAAAAGTACTTTTAAAAAAAGTGCTTTTGGTGAGAAGTAGTTTGTGTTTGGCTAATTAATTAGAAAAGCACTTTTGAGCAGTAATTAGTGTTTGGCCAAGCTTTTGAAAACTGCTTCTAAGTGTATTTTTCTCAAAAGTGCTTCTCAGAAAAGTGCTTTTGGAGAGAAGCTACTTTTTTCTGCTTCTCCAAAACTGCTTCTGCTTCTCCTCAAAAGCACTTTTTTTCCTTCCAAAAGCTTGGCCAAACACCTCAATTTTTTGCCAAAAGTGCTTTTGGCCAAAAAAAGCACTTTTGGGCCAAAAAAAAGCTTGGCCAAACAGGCTATTAGTATGCTTTGATGATTTGTAGAGAAAGGTATAGTAAATATGTGAAGAACTGAAAATCCATTGTCGAGCCAATTGCTCTTTGTTTCATATATATATTTTTGGTGTAAAAGAATATCTCTCTTTGTAGATAGCCGGTTAGATTTACTTGTCCAAAAAAGAAGAGATAGTAGGTTAAGTTTTTGTGAGGTTGAATGAACAGTCGGACACATTATGTACTATTCGTAAAGTTTACACTGTCTTGGCATGACAGCATTGGAAGAATTTTGACCCTTTTTTTTCCTTCCAAAATCAGGGTCCTAAATGTGGGACTTGTTTTGGGTATCACCCACGCATTTGGGAATATGATGATGAAACCATTCTTATCTTTTGGGCATCTATGTATTCTAACCCGTCAGGAGGATATGTTATTTCAATGGTATTCCTTCAGCTTGATTTTCCACTGCCATTTATTTATTGCCCTTTAACATTCAATGTGATTCTACATGCAGGAAATGTGAAGATTGATTTTGACAAATGTTTTTCCACTCATGCAATGATGCCGAACTTGAGACAGGTTTTTTAAATTGATTATCCATACTTGTCATCGATAAATCTCTTCCGTGATTACACTGTATTCAGGGGTCATTTAGTTTGCCATTAGCATAAAGGTGGATTAGAAAGATTATAAACTTGAACTTATCAAAAGAGAAATATTATAAACTTGAAGAGATTACCGGGGAATAAGTGCACTATAGCTCCTCAAAGTGCCTGGCATTTAGCTCATAAAGTTGTGGCATTTCTACCTTTCAATTCTACAAAGAATATCAAAGCATTTATTCTATTAAAGTCCATTCGAAAATAGCAGGAGTGAAACATGTGAACTTTTACACTTTCAGAAAAAATAGATGATTTTAATTTATCAAAAAGAAAATAAAGAAAGATGGTTTCATTTTCTGTTTTAGCAATATAGTAGTCATTTTCATGGAAACAGTAATATATTAAAAGAGAATTAAAAGCTAAGGGATTAGAGCGGCAATTTTGGTACTAGATATGGGGGAGAAGAAGCAGCCGAAGGAACTGTGATAGCCAGATGGAGGGAGGTAGCAGAAGGGAAAAGCAGAGGAAAAAAGGGCAATGATGTCTACTGCACATAGCAAGCAGATTTGCTAATTCGTAGCAAGGGGTGTATACTGGTGAGAAGAAAAAGAAGATGAGAGCTATTTTGGAGGGGAGTAGTCTTGAATGGGGAAAGGAGAAGGAAAAGGGTATTAAAGCTAAAAGTTACTGTATACTAGAGTTTGTTATTTAAAAAAAGAGTTACTGAGTTACAGCATACTAGGAGGTTTTTTTTTTTTTTG